TAATAATTCATTAATTCATAAATAAAAAATTAAAAAACCTGATTTTTGAAATTTGAAACTTGTTTTTGTATTTTTGAAAATGTGTAAAGTAAATACCTTAGAAATGTATTGTTCTCTTTTTTTAATTTCCCTTATTATTACGAATTGAGTGTAACACGGCCTGGTGTTTAAAATTGTTGGCCCAGTTCTAAACTGGGTACGTCCAGCTAGCACACGAGTGCAGGCCCAATTCTATTGAAACCTCTACCGCCATTGCTCCAAATTTCAGTTTCCTTTGATTCATTAACTCCACGAGTAACAGTGGAGCTTAAAGAATCTGAAAACCCTCCATTTCTCTGTCACTCACTGAAGACTGATTTCATAAAAATGGAAATGTTTTTCAAAAGACTGAGCAAGGCTGCACCGATCGCATTCGGAAGCACCAATTTTCGCTTCCCCTTTGGAGCTCTTCAACGCGGAACGGGATACCCGTCAGAGGTCCAAGTAAACGATGTAGTTTCGTGCTTCAGAGATTGGTTCATGTCCCGAAACAACCCGTTGCTTGATTGAATCTTCGAAATCCTTCGTGCCCATGACGAATCTGCTGCCGATTTTGCCCTTTCTCGCTTCAATTTGCGTCTCTCCGAAGCCTTAGTCCTCGACGTATTAAGCTACGAGCAAAAAGATACACTTTATTGCTTGAAATTCTTCGATTGGGCTGGACGCTAGCCCAGTTTCTACCACACTAGAGCCACTTTTAATGCAATTTTCGGACTTTATCCAAGGCCAAGCTAATGTCCCTAATGCTAGACTTCCTACAGAATTATATGAAATGGAGGTATGTGCATAAAGTTAGATTTTACAACACTTTGGTGATTGGGTATGCTGTTGCGGGCAAATCTGAGGTTGCACTGGAGCTGTTCGGTAGAATGAGGTTCCAGGGCGTGGACTTAGACGCATTTGCATACCATGTGTTGTTGAATTCACTAGTCGAGGAGGGCTATTTTGACGTGGTGGAAATGGTGGCAAAGCAGATTAGAGTCCGAGCAATTCAGAATGAGGTAACACATTCGATTATGATGAGGAGTTTCTGTAAGCAGAATGAGTTGGAGAGGGCTGAAAACTATCTACGAGGTCTGGTGGGAGATAATGGGATGGGATTGAGTGGGGTTGCGGTTGGTATTTTTGTGGATGCTTTGTGCAAGGATAATCAGTTTGAGAAAGCTGCATTATTGATTGAGGAGTTCCATAAAATGAATTTGGTTTCGATGGAGTATGCATATAGCGTGTGGATTAGGGACCTTGTTAAGGCTGGGAAGTTGGATGGGGCATTGGAGTTTTTGAATGATAAACAGTCAGTCGAGGGTTATGTTCCTGATGTTTTTCGTTATAGCTCATTGATTTGTAGGCTTTTGATGGAGAATAGGCTTATTGAGGTGTGCGATTTATTGATGGAGATGAAGTGGAGGGGAATATTGCCTGATGATGTCACAATGAATGCAACATTATGCTTCTTATGCAAAGCTAGAATGATGGATGTTGCCATGGATTTATATGATTCGAGGGCAGAGTTTGGCCTTTTAGTGAGTTGCATGGCTTATAATTATCTTATAAATACTCTAGTGGGGGATGGTACTGTTGATGAAGCATATCGCGTGTTGAGAAATTCAATAGAACATGGTTATTTCCCTGGAAAAAAGACCTTTTTCCATTATTTCTGATGCTCTTTGCAGAGAAGGAAAGCTCGATAAGATGAAAGAGTTGGTTCTTGTTGCATTAGACCAGAATATCATGCCCAATGACTTGACTTATGACAAGTTCATATCATCTCTCTATAGGGCCAAGAGAGTTGAAGATGGTTACTTGGTACATGGCTAGCTTAACCGATTGAATAAAGTTGCTTCTAGGAGTACATATGTTCACCTGATCAATGGTTTTAACAAGTTGAGTAGAGGGGATATTGCTGCTAGATTACTCATAGAAATGCAAGAAAAAGGTTATCACCCTAAAAGGAAATTGTATAGAGACGTGATTTGTTGTTT